TGTCTACATTATCGAATAATCCAAAATAAGTAATGATATATATATATATATATATATATATATATATATATATATATATATATAAACTTAATATAAAAATTATTATATGAAAGTTAACAACGTCATTGTTATCTTTTAAAAACATATATTTGTAATTCCGTGCAATGCGCGGGTATTCGCCGAGTGATTATATATAGTTTGAATGAAGAAATTGGTCTTGATCCTACGTACGATTTGCCATCAATACAAAATATACATAGATATGTTACATAACCTTATACCTTACCATCATATTCATAGATAGTACCACGATAACAATTGTACATTACCTTTACTGCACCTGTTATTGTCCTGGAAAGGATGTCCATAAATCTGCCTGTTTTTTAGTTTGTTCGTTGGTGTTATCTTGTTGGTCAAACTACCAATTTCTCACCTCAAAATATTCGGGTATAATACAAAAAGTTTCCTTTTATAGTACTAGAAATGGGCTTTGAATTTGGGCTCAAGCAATAATTGATTTACATGTCTCGGGTTTTAGTAGACGATTTTAATGTGATATGTTGTAACGTGTAACACAAAAAATATGAATTAATTTGGCAAAAAAATCATGCTTCTATGTTCTAAATTTTTTTGTACATATGCATTAATCATAATATGCAAGTGTATATGCTACATTAATACTTTTGTTGTTAATCATATTCCCTAAATTAACATAACAAGCATAAAAAAAGGTCAATACATATCGACGGAAGACAAACGAGCAACAAGCTGCGTAACTAGCCCTTTATGGATGACAAAACTAATTCTTTTGAAAACATCTGTGGATCTAGGATATATAACATTAGAATGCATGACCCATTGGACTCTTTTGAGGAGCTACACCGTCTTTGGTGCAAGAAAACCAAATGTATCAAATGTAAAAGGTACAAACACATGTTGATTTTCTATACATGCATTCTCGTGTTTTGCCACTTTGCACACATCGACTTTCAAAACGGCATGCCCTGCTATGAAACCTACGCTCCTCAAACCGACAAGAGGAGAGAAGCATCAAAGAGAACGTCCCTTCTACCCATCCAAAGACCAAAATGTCAGTCGGCCTGAGTGTAGATCTTCCATCGTGCGGGTCCGTTAAAAAGTTCATCGACGCTTCTTTCTTCACGAAAATACCAGCATGCAGAGAAGCATCAAAGAGAACGTCCCTAACCACCTCATGTCGCTATTTGAAACCAGTGAGTTCCCTATAATGAACCACATGTTCCCCAAAAGTGTCCAATCATGTCTTGCGGCAAACTGGACATATTTCGTCAATTGGAAATAGAGGAATCATGAGGCGGTAACGAATGATAGTTCGGTACTCCACATGAGACATATGTTGGCCGATGACATCAATAGGAATAGTTAGCAGAAAATCATGAGCATGAGGTGCCCGAAGACACTTAAAAACTGCATTTTGCTTTCTAAAATAAATAACTTAAATTTAAAGTCTAAAACTGTTAAGTATTAGTGCTTCCGGTTTCGTTTTAATTTTATGCAAAACGACTTCAACCATGTTCATTCCTAATTAATTATTGTCAAATACCTAACATACAATATTTACAGACCCATGTATTATACAAAAAAACGTTTTACATCAATTAAATGCATTAAACGACAAAAATTATAGAAACCATTGGATATGAAAAGAAAAAAAAAATCCAAATAACCTATTGTTCATTGACTTCAGCTTTTATCTTATTGGCTTGGTGACGCGGTGCGCGGGACCCATGTTGAGTCAGTCGCCTTCTTATCCAGTCTCCTTGACGCCACAACTTTTTTCAAAAAACCACACCTTTCCGATTATAGCAAGGCACAGAATATTTTTTTTTTGGAACTTCATTTATTAAGAAACAAGTACTTATTTGTAATTTTGTCTTATTAAAATCATCTTATATACGTATTTGGTTATTATTAAGTCTGTTTTATTAGAATATAATTACAAAAAAATATAAATACATTATGGTTTCTTTCATGTAGTCCACTATAAAACTATATATTACTAATAAAAATAATAAAATTCTTTATTACAAATTTCTGATTTTGTGATCTCTTTCAAATTATTGAAAAGGAAAATTACAATTACATGAAATGTACCTTTCAGTTACATTTCATTTTCAAAATTATAATATATTTTATATTTATATATTATAAATTCGTCATTCGTCGAGAATTAAAGTAGCGATAACTTACCATAAAAAACCCACTTGATAATAGTTGGAACTTTATAATTGATTAAAGTATAATTTTAATAATATATTTCCAAAAATGGAAATATAAAGGACTGGTTGCAATTTGCGCGTATTAAGAGTGTAGATTTGGAAGATGCAATAATAAATCGCCATCTTCGCAAATCCAATCTCTACTTCCCAATGGAACGCCTGGATTATGGGAAGATGGGTTATGGGTATTACTCTCGACGCTCTTTCTTCCTGCTTATAATATACTTCAGATGTTGATTCAACTGATTAATTCTTCAATGTATTGATTTTTTTAGATGCAAGCACTATCGAAGACGATGTATGATTCGTGCTCCCTGTTGCAACGAGATTTTTGGTTGTCGTCATTGTCACAATGAGGCTACGGTACTAATTCCATCTCTCTCTTCCTTCAGCCTTCCGTTCAATTCGATTGTTGTTCATCCCCGAGTAATGTCGTTAATCAAGTTATTAATTGCGTTCATCGTTTCTGACCTAATTCTGTTGTACTTAAATCAGTTAAGCTTCTTAGATCTGCTGTATATTGCTTGGATAATTCCTAATTATATTGCGTTTACTTATACAGAACATGCTGAACAGCCCATCCGATCGGCATGACCTTGTTCGATATGATGTAAAGCATGTACGTTTCAGAACTCAAATTTCCTCTTAATTAGTGCTTAATCAGGACTCGAAAATTCGCATATTTATGAATTTTATGTATGCCTTCGTATTGTGACGAGATTCATGTTTGTTGCAGGTTATATGTTCGGTTTGTGACACTGAGCAGCCGGTATATTTCAGTGACCCAAATTGAAACCGATTGCTTGAGTTTTCTTCTCTGTTTTTACTGTATTTATGATTGTTATATTGTCTGTCAGGTTGCTCGAGTCTGCACAAACTGTGGAGTCAATATGGGGGAATACTTTTGTGAAATTTGCAAATTCTATGATGATGATGTACAAATTATAAGTCGATTCATACATCCTTCTCAAATTCAATCACTATAAGTCTCGATTTCTCTGATTATAATATTCTCATTGCAGACTGACAAGGGGCAGTTTCACTGTAACGAATGCGGTATCTGCAGGTCAGTGAGCTATGTGAAAGAAGATCATATCTTTCTTGAATCCATCCTAGTAACATATTTACCAAATTAATTTTATCTTTTCTTTATTTCTCATTCACCTTCCAAACCATTTCTTTTCTCCAGAGTTGGTGGTCGTGAGAAATACTTTCATTGCAAGAAGTGTGGTATGCATCATTACCAATGCCTTCTACTTCTGTAATAGGATTCAATCAATTCACTATTCTCTGTTGTTATTTTACTGGTTTCTATGGATTCTCAGGATCTTGCTATTCTCTAAGTCTGCTCAACAATCATTCATGTGTTGAAAACTCTATGCGGCATCACTGTCCTATATGTTATGAGGTTTTTCCTTTTTCATTCCCCCTTTTTTTTTATTTGTCACCATTATTAGTTTCTGAAAAAAACTTGCAAGTTTTAACACTTCCATTTACAGTACCTATTTGACTCGCTAAAAGACACAACTGTGATGAAATGTGGGCACACAATGCACTCAGAATGCTGTAATGAGATGATTAAGCGTAATAAGTAAGTCAAACTAAACTTGTCTTGGATTGGTTCATTTCCAAATCTTGTGAAATTTTAGCTAAATTTCAATGGTTTTGTTACAGATACTCTTGTCCCATATGCTCAAAATCAGTAATGGATATGTCTATGATGTGGAGGAGACTAGATGAAGAGGTGCAGCTATTGAATCTGTGATTGTGAAAATTTAATTTTAAACAACAAATTCTTGATCATCTTTCGTTTCTATAAGTTGGCTTGTTTTGTGTTTCTCAGATTGAAGCTACTGTGATGCCTGAAGATTACAGACAAAAGAAGGTATTATATTATGAGTTTCTTGAATTTTGAATCTTGAAGAGATTGAAACAGTAGAAGTGAATGGAGAAATGTGAAAATTGCAGGTTTGGATCTTATGTAATGACTGCAATGACACTTCGGAAGTTTTGTTCCACATAATGGGGCAGAAATGTTTGCATTGCAATTCTTATAATACTCGCACCATTTCCCCTCCTGTTCTTCCTCAAGAATGAAAATGAATGATTGTGGCAAAGTGGAAATCATCAAAACTGGCTCTTCATTTGTTGCACTAATTTAATGAAGACATTCACCATAAATTGGTGTTTTTAATTGTTAAATTTGATGTAATTCTTTCTCCACTTCACTTGTGTTGTGTGTGGATTGATTGATTTATAGTCCCAGTTAAATGACTATTTAACTGGTTTTATTCATTTGTACACATGTTTGGTTTCTTTTTCATATATAATGAATGCATATATACTTGCGTTTAAGTTTATAACCCAACAACTACTTGTCACTTGTGGTATGAATTATGATTAACTAAGCAATAGATTTTGGGTGAGGTTGATGTTATAATTTTTTGTTAAAGAAAATACATTTTAGGTTTTCCAATCTTGTATTTTGAGAATTTTCTCAAATTATAGCAATTTTAAAGTATGGTGTTCATAAGTTTTTTCTATGTCGATGAACACCATATAAAACATTTTAAAATTTTTACGTTATTTTATTCTTAAAAGGAGAAAACAATAATTTGCAAGAGTTTTATAAAAGAGAGGGCTCGGTGGGCTATTAAAACGGGCCTTTCGTGGGAGAATACATTCATACAAGACTAAACGCCAACCAATCATTTGGATTCGTTTTTGATAGGAAAAGCCAAAATGGATAAAAGAGAATGTTTCCTCCAAAAATCCCCATTCATTTCCATCACTCCTGCATCTTGCATTCATCAATCTCGAAATTTAACCATGTCCACTTGTGCCTCCTTCTACGGTATCACACTCAGTTCTTCATCTTCAACCTTCAAGAATCTTCTATCTTCTCATTACCCAAATAAAATTCAAGTTAATTCATCACCATTTTCATTTCTTCCTTCACATCTATCCAAAACCTCCGTGTTCAATACAAAAAGACACATTGTTGCAACTGCTTCAACTCCCACAGCTCTTGAATCACCTCCTAAATCTTCATTTCGAGACAAACCTCCCAAAGACATCAATGTGTTAGTCGTGGGTTCAACTGGATATATCGGAAATTTTGTGGTTAAAGAACTGGTTAATAGAGGGTTCAATGTGATTGCAGTTTGCAGAGAAAAAAGTGGAATTAAAGGTAAGAATAGCAAAGAGGAGACCTTGAACAAGTTAAATGGAGCTAATGTTTGTTTTTCAGATGTTACCCAATTGGATAGTTTACAGCAAAGTCTACAAAATTTGGGGGTTTCGATTGATGTTGTCGTATCTTGTCTCGCTAGTCGATCTGGAGGTGTTAAAGATTCATGGAAAATTGATTACGAAGCCACCAAGAACAGTCTTTTAGCCGGTAGGACTTTTGGGGCTAAACATTTTGTTCTGTTATCTGCAATCTGTGTACAAAAACCCCTTCTCGAATTCCAACGAGCAAAGTTGAAATTCGAATTGGAATTGATCAAAGAAGCTGAAAACGATGATGATTTTAGTTACAGCATTGTTCGGCCAACAGCTTTCTTCAAGAGTTAGGAGGGCAGGTTGAGCTTGTGAAAGACGGGAAGCCATATGTGATGTTTGGCGATGGGAAATTATGTGCTTGTAAGCCGATTAGCGAGCCAGATTTGGCTTCGTTTATAGCAGATTGTGTGTTAAGTACTGATAAAATTAACCAGATTTTGCCAATTGGTGGACCTGGGAAGGCGTTGACGCCATTGGAGCAAGGGGAGATGTTGTTTAAACTCGCGGGAAAGAAACCTAATTTTATTAAAGTCCCGATTGAGATTATGGATTTTGCTATTGGGGTTCTTGATTTTCTTGTGAAGATATTTCCTTCAATGGAAGATGTAGCGGAATTTGGGAAGATAGGGAGGTATTATGCAGCTGAAAGTATGTTGGTTTATGATCCTGAAACTAAGGAATACAAGGCTGAGGAAACACCAAGTTATGGAGAAGATACATTGGAAGATTTCTTTAAAAGGGTGCTTGAAGAAGGGATGGCTGGGCAAGAACTTGGAGAGCAAATAATTTTTTGAAAGTTTTGAGTTTATGATTGATTGTGTTCAAGGTATGTGGTTATTGTAAATTTTATGCCATTTGTGCATATATGAGGTTAATTTATATCATCTTAGCCCTGTTTTTTTTTTCATCTAGTGATGTCTGAGATAAATATTGTTTGGATAAATGATAATACAGATAATTTAAGTTTCAGACTTTATAGTGTATAGCTCCCCCGAAACAAAATACTGAAAATAGTTAAATGTCTAAAGGTTGAATGTTAATATGATTGATGAGATAGAGCAATCAAAGTTTTTTTTTTTCGGCAAAACTTTCTAGTTAGGCTTGGAATAAATAATTAAGGTTACTATTTTATTAATTTTGATTTTTGACAAGTTTGATATTGTGGCTGATTTTGACCTTGTTTGACTGATTCTTGGCTTCTTGCCATCTAGGCCGATTTTCATTGATTTTTCACCAAGTTTGACCTAAACCGACCATTTGGCTGATTTCCAAAAATCCTACGCGTTTAGGTGCCGACTAGTCGGTCGACTTTTACAACATTGGTTCCAAGTTCAATACATTTCTTTCTACAACCGAGAAGAATTTTCAATCATCCATTTATAAATATGAGGCATATAAACCAAACATTTCAAACTTGGACGATACCAAAATCACTACCAGAGTTTTGTTATGTCTCTACTTCATGTAACAAGTATTATCATATCATGTTGTAGATTTATATGATTATAGTCTTACTTGAATTAAAGAAATCAAATTTGCATCCACATTAACATTAGTTTTGAACAAAAAAATATGTCAAACATTGGAAACTGGAAATTTAATTCTAATTTAAGTGATAAACTCAGCGATCCAATTGGTAGCTTCTAGTTCATCATCATATTCCATTTACTCTTTTTCCTTCCTACGCATAACAACATATGCCAATAGCTAATACCTATAATTTTTCTTGAAAAATGTAAAATACATTTCATCATCCAATGCTCTTTCTCATCATAATGATAGCAATCAACATCCTTCGTAGAGTGTTTTTTTTGTTGGAGCAACAACTTTTTGGGCAACTCCCTTGCCTTTGCCTCTTCCCTTTCTATGATATTTCTTCTTTACTTGGCATTCCATAATCATTAGCACCTAGGAGGGATTAGGAATGTTCTTCTCGACAGTTTTAAGCATCGAATGTAACTTTGAGATTCACTTCTCCTATTGTTCGTATTATAGTTCGTAATAAAATGGTTAGGGCTGGCAAAATTGTACCATGGAAAATCAACCAACATGTTACCAACCGAACCAAGAAAATTGGTAGCCAATATATTTGGTAGCCAACATGTTTGGTTGGTAGTACCGTGCCAATTGAGCAATGTTGGTACGGTAATGGTACACAAGTTTGAATATCATGGTAATACCGTACCAACCAATTCATTTATTATAATATATATATATATATATATATATATATATATATATATATATATATATATATATATATATATATATATATATATATATATAAACGAAATCGTATATTTCAACAGTTAATTGTGTTTAGTGTTTACAGTTTTAAGAACATTATATAAGTCATTTGGTCGCATTAGTTAATAGTTATTACAACGTTAAAGCACAAAATTAAATCGTTACTTTAGTGTTACTTCAATAAAAAAATTATAAATTAAAAGAACAACGTAACTAATTTCTATACTAAACATCAAAATTACCCGATGTTTTTGCTTATTTTTAAATCTTATAATAGAAAATTAAAAGAAATTGATATATACCATTACTAATTTGTACCAACCAAACTTATTGGTAGCCAAATATATTGGTACCAAGTATGTTTGGTACGGTACTGGTAGCAATTTTTTTATACCAATTATAGTTGGTACGGTACATGGTTTAGAGAAAAATGAATTGGTACCGTACCAATTCCACCCCTAAAAGTGGTTATATGAATTAGGCAAACTGTTCATATTAGCACGACTATCAATTTTGTGTCATGGGAGATCCTAGTCTCTAAAGTTTGTCATTGTATCTCTTCATCTTCAAAATATGAGTGCCAACAAATTGACCTTCCTTTGTTTTGCATGTATGGAACGTTTTGACCGTTTCATATAGTTTGTGTTCACATTTCTACTGAAAAATGTTCTTCAACTCGTTAAGAATTCAAATGTTGCAAAGTTCTCCAGGTCCTTCTGAAGATCCGAATGAAGCTCTCAAGATTCGAACACGATTCGATGAGTTACCCATCACATCTTCCACATGTTTTACCAACTGAGTCATAAGAATATGTTTCACATATACAACTAGCAATATCTATCATATTTCTTGTTATTTACATATTATTCTCAATACATATCACATGCACATACACACATAGTGTAACATTCCGAAAATTTCAACAAATTTTTAACTTTTCAAAACAACCCATTCACTAAAGAGGTATTTACAAAAAACATTGTTTCTAAAACATTATTTAAAAACCGGAATTGTTTACAACATAGTTTTCAAAACATTTCCATTATCAGAGTTTCCCAGAATTTATAAGTTCCAAAACACGAGGATGTGTGCGGTCACGCCTTCACCTTGCCACTGTCCACTGAAATACCTGAAACCATAAACCAAAACTGTAAGCACGAAGCTTAGTGAGTTCCCACAAAGTACCAATCACAACAATAACACATACACAAACAACATATTATGGGTCCAATCATCATCGGGATGGAATACCCCAGGCCCCTCAAGCATCGGGATGGAATGCCAACATACTATAGGTCCAATCAATCATCGGGTTTGAATACCCCAGACTCCTCAACCATCGGGTTGGAATGCCAATATACTATGGGTCCAATCAACCATCAAGTTGGAATACCCTAGGCCCCTCAACCATCAGGTTGGAATGCCAACATACTATGGGTCCAATCAACCATCGGGTTGGAATACCCCAAGCCTATTGGCTTACGCACAAAGCAGAGAAGCCTCAGCCACCAATCACACATGTGCACATATAATAGATAATCATATAACAGTCTACAGCCAGTCAAACAGATCTAACAGATCGCTAAGCATAGCATCATCCTATCTATCAGGATACCGATCTAACAGATCATAACAGCATAACAACATCCTATCTACCAGGATACTGATCTAACTGATCATAACAGCATAGCAACATCCTATCTACCAGGATACAGATCTAACAGATCATAACGTAGCAACATGCATAACGGGATATCAATCCAATGGCTCGGCATTGGTGCCTTCGACCCGCAAGTACAGTGAGGAAGACTCACCTCTCAAGCAGTGCAGAACTGATAAGGTCTGACTCCGAATCTCAGCTCCCGACTCAAATCCCTACAACCACCATGTGACCAATTCCATCAAAATCCCGAAATGCCCAAAATGCCCTCAAAAGTCAAACTTGGTCAACCATGGTCAAAGTCAACGGTCAAGGTCAACAATCCATGTTGACCCATGATGAGTGTCGAATCCATCAAACAATAAGTCCTATTTGCACTTATATGATTTAAAAATAATAGTAATAGTGGCAAACAGGGTCGATCCTCGGGGACTTGGTTTTAATCAATAAATAAACCAAACTAATCATGTTTTTATTCAACTGCATAAAAAGTAAATATGTGGGGAGGGTTTTGAGAACGAGTAAAAATAAAATGAAATACGGTTAAATAAATACTAGAAACAAAAGTAAAAACAATCTGGTTTCAAGTTCTGTTCACCTAATGATACAAGCTAATGATAAATTGATGTCAAATTAAATTTTAATCTAAGTTGGTACTTGAAGACACTAACAAGCTCTAGCATCTTCCATTCACCAAATTGTTTAATCAAAACAAACTCTTTAAATTAAACCTAACATTACTAACCTACTCTAAACAAGCTCTTAGAAATAGATTGAAAGATCGCATTAAGTTGTGTGTGAATGTTCCCAACAACGTTTAATACTTCTCACAAGCTCGGAAACGTAAAAAACGTGCAATTTTAGTTTACACCGAAGTTAATCCCATCACAGAACCAATTCGATGTGTGTCACTTAGCATCAATTCATAAAACAATTACGGATTTTACAAATCGAATAACGAGAATGAACTAACCCTAATTCAAACGGCCAACATGAATCGGGGTAAGAATCAAACATTCGATTATAACAAAACTAAACTGGCTAGAAAGAATAACAACATAACATCAAATCATATAATTAACTAGATAAAAAAAAGAGTTCAAACTATAAAACCGGATGTGTTAATTCAACTTGAAAAATAATAAACTAAAAATAACATAATCGACATTCGTATTATAATCGTGTAATTGTTGGAAAAGCATGATGATAAGTTGTGATTGTGCAATAGTTTCTTAAACGTTTTTTAGGTTGGTCGGACTCATTAATGAGCTTATCGAATAATAAATCCTATTTGTCTAGCACTTGATTGCAAGTTTTTCAACCAAGTTACAAAATCATCCAATTAAAACAAATTCTTTAATTGAAACTAATTCACTACATAATTACCGAACAAGCTCCCTATAATTATGTGATAATTGCATTAATGTTCAAACAAATATACCAACCACAAGTGATTTTCTCATAAGCTCGGAAAACCAACAATTGTACCAATTGATTTCATAACTTCATTCAACATCTTACGAAGTCAATAACATTATTTGCTACTTAAGTTAATTAAATTGTCGATTATGTAACCAAACAATCAACATAGCAATTCAATCATCTAAACCCTAATTGAGGTGATCAAGTTCAAAAAGAATTAAGACAATGAAATTTATTTTTCTAACAGAAATCATATGGATAAAAATGAAAAAAGAAACATAATCAATAACTTCACTTGCAAATCCAAAGTCATTCACATCATTATAAACCGAATGTCGACGCCCGTGATTTAGCCGTTTAAGACGGCTAAACCACCGGAAACTACAAAACAATCAACAAAACAAATAAAAATAAAACTTACAAACGGAAAATAGAAAGATTTTTTTGATGCCAAAAACACCAAAA